TAAACAAGACAAGAACATAAATAAGATATAAGTTAACTAAGTAAAGGAAAATAAATGAAAAGTATAATCAAGAGATTAATGAAAGCAAAACTTAAATATTATAAAAACATAAAGAGAAAGAGCAAGAACATAAGCTTGATCTGAAAATGAAGATGCCTAAATGCATGACAAATGCCTTCTTTTATAGGCCAAAATGAGGAACTATTGATTTGTTAACTAGTTATTGAGTAGGTGGCCACATCTTGACTTGGTGACAATTTTTATTTTATTTTCTGAAAAAAATGTCAGTGCTAACATCACAATTTAGATAAACTTAAACATGAAAATTCTAGGAAATTGTCTCAGCTTTCTAGGAAAACAAATTAAGGTCATTTGGACTTTTAGAACTCTAGATATGGGCTAAATACTAAATAGTGTCTAGGCTACAAGACAGCTTCGGACTTTTATATTGTTACTAAGATTTGGACATGTAAATAGTAGAATCGAGTCTTGCCTTCCAAAGTTTTAGGTCTATGTATTAGTTTTCCATTCATATAAAGCAAATCTAAATACAAGTTCTACAACTCTAGTTATGATCTAATTACCGAACAAAGTTCTAGTTTAGACTAAACCAATATCTCTTTTCTAAGGTGGTGTGATTGCATTTTCAAGTTCTCATATATAAAATCTTATCTTCCTTTTCTTCATTTTTACTTAACCCATACATTCAATAGATATTGAAATGGCAGGTTCCTTAAGTCATCACCTAAGAAACATTTGTGTTTTTGGTGGATCCAGTCTTAAGAAGGAAATAAAATTTTTAGAATTAGCAAATCATTTTAGTCATGTACTAGTTGAGAGAAAGATTCATTTAATTTATGAGGGGGGCAGCCTAAGGTTAATGGGTATTTATATGATAGACCTGTATTTAAAATGAACATTTACCATAAATTAAAGGTATCTTATATTATTAGATATGTTATTATAAAACATGTTTTAGTTAAGAAGTTATTGATACTTCAAGTGCAAAATGATGATATAAAACCTTGATAAAAATATACTTTTAAGTACTAATCATCTAATCTTGGCATTATGAACTATTTTATTGGAATCAAAATATATCAATGCAGCTTAGATATCTTTGTTTAAAAAAAAAATACGTTGTTAATATATTCAAGAGATTTAAGCTTGAATCATGCAAAGAAGTAGCAACTTCATTAGCACAAAATAAAAAGATTTCTAAGAATGATGATGAGAAACTTGAAGAACTCTCTCCATATAGAAGTTTAGTAGGTAGCCTACTGTATTTAACAGCAACCAGATTGAACTTGATGTTCCTAGCTAGTTTACTATCAAGGTTTATGAGCTCATTTAGCAATGTTCACATGGGAGTTGCCAAGAAGGTGCTGAAGTATATTAGAGGGACAACTGATCTTGGAATCTTGTACTTAAAGTTAAGAGAAGTAAAATTAAGTGAATATATAGATAGTGACTGGGCAGGGAATGTTGATGATATGAAAAGCATTTTTATATATGTTTTTACAATTGGTTTAGGTGCAATTTATTGGAATGCTAAAAAGCAAGAACTGGTGGCATAATTAACAGCTGAAGCAGAGTATATTTCCTTAGCAACTGCTGCAAATCAAGCAATATGGTTGAACAAGTTGCTTGCTGCTCTAAGCCAAGAACAAAGCTTACCAACTAAACTTTACTGTGACAACAAGTTTGTCATTGCCAGGGGCGGAGGTAGGTTAATTTTACAGGGGAGGCCAAAATTAATATGTTACAGGGTATTATTAAAAAACTTATTTATTTAAATTAAAAATATTAAATAATAGAAAATTTTAAATTTTTTTACAGGGGCCCGGGCCCCTGCTTGCCACCCCCTGGTTCCGCCGCTGGTCATTGCTATTGATCAAAATTCGGTTCAACATGGGAGGACCAAGCACATTAATGTGAAATTTCATTTCATAAGAGAAGCTGAGAAGACTTTATTTGTAAAGCTTCATTACTGTCCAACCGATATACAACTTGCTAATATAATGACTAAAGCACTCCTTAAATCAAGGCTGGAATTTCTAGGGATGAAACTTGGTTTGTCCAAAGCAAATCTCAAGGAAAAGTATTAGAATTTATGAGAATTTGCCTTTGAAGATAGCTGTTAGACTTAGTCTTTGAATTTATTTTTTCATAACAGAGTCTGTTGCAAGTTTTGCTATTATTCTGTTATTAGTAGTAATCCAATAATCTCTCATGTTTGTTGATAATTTATAGCATTTTGAATTTGGGTGTAAGCCTTTAAATAAGTATTCTTAATTTATAATATTAATTATTTTTCAGTTTTAACTTTCTCTTTTTTAGAATTCTTTGCATTTGTTATTCATTAAAAAATGCAGATTTCAACAATATTCATTTAAATTGTAGATTTCAACATAGTACGTCCACTAGCATAAAAGAATAGCTCTGCAGCAATAACAACGTACATGCCAAGAACATCGAACATTTCAAACATAATTTTTGTTATTTTTTCCTTGTTAGCGATAAGGTTCAGGGGAGCTTTAGGGTGTGTTTGGTATTGTGGTTATGACAAAGATTATTTTATAAAAAGTACTTTTAGTTGAGATTGGTTTGAAAAAATAGATGTTTGGTTACAACTGTGGTTGAAATTGAGATTGATCAAAAAGTAGTATAATGTGTTTGGTTAATAATGCTTTTGAAATTGAGGTTATAAAATAATTTTAAAAAATATATATTAATATTTATGGTTTTTAATTTAAATATTGTAGATTTAACTATTGCTATTACATCATAAAATAAATAATACTTTATATAAAATATTTTTTATTGTTCCATTAATCATTCTATAATTTCATCAGATATAAAATATATTCGACAAGGACTATAGTTTTCAAAAAACTTTTAAGAGCGCAACAACACTAGGGAAATATAATCAAGAACAAAATTGAGATTGCACTTAAATTCTATAAATGTGGCATCATCAAGTGATCTCTGTCTAATTTATATAATCATTGAATAATGTTTAACATTAGTTTTTTTGAATAAAACACAATTATAAATATTTTTTTTATTTTGTTGGGTCGAACCTGGTTTAATGCATTTTTAGCATTGAATTGAACTAGTTCGACTGAAACAGTGAAATATGACTCCATTGTTCATGATAGACAACTCATAAATAATAGAGCATGCTTCACTATTTCATGGATTTTCTCATCACAAGAAGCAGCAATGAGTTGCTTCTTGTAAACCTAGGGCTGTGTCATAATTAATGGTAGGACCTACTAGTATAAAATTATAATAAAAATATTACAAAATTTGTTGTTGTTGTTGTTTTATAATTGTTGTTTTTAATTTTTACAATTAACCTCCCTGTGGTTCGACCCCGGTCTTGCCGGGTTATTTATTACTTCGACACTCCTGCACTTGGGAGAAGACATCAATCTTTTTGTCGTGTCAGTAGACAACTCATAAATAATAGAGCATGCTTCACTATTTCATGGATTTTCTCATCACAAGAAGCAGCAATGAGTTGCTTCTTGTAAACCTAGGGCTGTGTCATAATTAATGGTAGGACCTACTAGTATTAAATTATAATAAAAATATTACAAAATAATAATATTTATAGCTGTGTGGTTGAATCTCACCCGCAATCATAATACCAAACTATAGTATCTAGTTGTTTATGTAAACTGTGCTTTTTAATCAATCCTGTTTTGTTAATTAAAAAACTAATTGATTTTGCATAGATTCATTGTTTGTGATAATTACAGTGGAATGATTAAGGTGAGAAACCGTATTCTTTTAATAGTTTGTGTTGATTTCTTGCTGCATTGTGAAGGAAGCCCTTTCCAGTGCTCAAAAGTAACCCTTCATCTCGATCTTTCTCCTTCAACAGGCAGGTTTTGGTAGAGATGGTGCGCCGAAGGCCCTTTTCCCCAGCTTTGTCGCATTAGACATGAAACAGGGAATTTCCTATGCCCAAAGAGTTAACACAACCCATAATCAGCTTACTGAGCACAAGATAGATCATGCCAGCAACATTACTCACTCATTTTCCTTGTTCTACGCGAGCAGATCACATACTCAAAGACATCATCATTCATCAGCAACAATCCATATCCACCAAAAATAACTCAAGAGAAAAGAAAACCCAATCATTGTCTATTATCATGCAAGTTTCAATACCAAGGAGAAACGATCAAGAACCAAGATAGAGAAATCTATGATCCACCTGAAAACAATAAAGCAGGATATATTAAAAGTAAAGCATCTCAGTTCTTGAATCTCCTATACTTTCTTTGATCATTCGTGAACAGTGTGGTCCTGATTTTTTATTTTAATACGTGGTCCTGGCTCATGAACATGCTGCGTGTTTAGTTAGCCCACCTTACCTGCTTGGACTTGTATCAATCCTGTGCGAGACTCGGTACTGAGCAATGAAATATCCATTTGATGAATAATGGATTTTTGCAAAATCCCCTTCACCTCTGCAAGATCAGGCCTTGCCAGACTCACACAGACCGTTGCCTACTATCTTCCCTTCCCCTTCATTCCAGCTATTTCCTTACGAAAGCCGAAACCAGAGTTAGTCAGATATAGATAGGCCACCCCACAAACCAACCCGAGGGCCTAATATTGTGTGTTAGTGTCATTTTGTTGTAACTTGTAAGAATCAAAGGTTCAATCAACTTTGGTAATCGGAGAAAAAACCCTTACTAGCAAGAGAGTTTTCTGTACAACGACGATGACCAGCATTTGGTTCCTCCTCTATTACCACAATCTTCAAAGAATAAGAGGAGCATGCTGAATATTATTTATTGATGAAAAAGAGGAGCATGCTAACTGAGCGTAGCATGCTTCTGGGCTTTCATTATTCATCAATGAAGGTTTTATTCTGTAATGAAAGACAGCCCCTACAATATTATTTACCCGTATCGGGCGAGGTGGGCTAATCACAGATTCACAGTGAGCCAGGACGATGCTAATAAAATCTAAAAAATGAGAAGAACATCCACACATTTCATTTCATTTCATTTCTTTCCGTATACATAAGTAAACTTGACATGAAAAGACAGGGAAAACAAAGGAAAATAGTGAAAAATACATTAATGCTCTTCATGAGGCGATAACTTGGAGAAGATAAAAGGCAATCTATATATGATTACACATACCAAGTACATGTTTCATATAGTAACTATGAGGGGGGAGAACAAAATCAAAGATCACAATCACGCCAAAACAAGCCATATTAATCGGCCTCACAATCCAAAACCATATTGATAAAGGAGGGATGGGAAAAGGGGCAGGCAAAATGGATTTGCATATCTAGAAGCACTTCCTGTGAACAATGGAGGGTCCTGATTCATCATATTCGGCCTTTGATATCCACATCTGGATGAAAAATTAAAATCTAAAATCAATTGCCTGTATAAAAATGCTGAAAGCCAAATAAATATAGACAGAAAGGAAGTAGAAACTACAGAACATTGTAAAATAATTAATCAAGTAAATGTTATGAATTGGTTTTCTAATTTGGTTGTTTTATTTTGTACCCATTACCATTGCCAATTCTCTTGTGTGTGTTATTCTCGCGCATGCTTGTACATGTTTCTCAACTAATGGAAGTTAACGTTTGTTCTGTTCTGTTCCATTACTTCACCCTTTAGCCTCTTTTTTGCAAGCATGTGATTCTGGTGACCTTCAACTCTTTCGAGCTTTTGGGTCAAGAATAACTTTACCATTTGCAACATCAAATACAACGATAAAAAGGAGAAAATGGAGATGTGTGATACATGCCTGTTGGAAAGTGCTGAGGGAAGCCAGTATAGACCCTCCGATCCAAACACTGTATTTTCTCTCAGGAGGAGCAACCACCTTGATTTTCATGCTACTTGGAGCAAGAGCTGTGATCTCCTTGCTCATTCGATCAGCTATTCCTGGAAACATGGTAGATCCACCACTGAGCACTATGTTACCATACAAGTCTTTCCTGATATCAACATCACACTTCATGATCGAATTATAAGTGGTTTCATGAATTCCAGGTGCTTCCATTCCAATGAGTGATGGTTGAAATAGGACCTCAGGGCAACGGAAACACTCTGCACCAATGGTGATAACCTGGCCGTCAGGTAGCTCATAGCTCTTCTCAATTGAAGAGCTACTTTTAGCCGTTTCAAGCTCCTGCTCATAATCAAGGGCCACATACGCAAGCTTCTCTTTAATGTCTCTTACAATTTCCCGTTCAGCGGTTGTGGTGAATGTGTAACCTCTCTCCGTAAGGATCTTCATCAAGGCATCTGTTAAATCCCTTCCAGCAAGGTCAAGCCTAAGGATTGCATGGGGAAGTGCATAGCCCTCATAGATGGGAACTGTGTGACTAACTCCATCACCAGAATCCAGCACAATACCTGAAAAGCACGCCACAAAGAGAAAGTTACAGGCAACTTTGAACGGCAATAATTTTTTCCTTGCAATTGAAAACAGAGAAGAGTTCTCACATATATATATGCATCCCATACACACCTGTTGTACGCCCACTAGCATAGAGGGAGAGCACTGCTTGGATGGCAACATACATGGCAGGGACATTAAATGTTTCAAACATAATCTGTGTCATTTTTTCCCTGTTGGCCTTAGGGTTCAGGGGAGCTTCAGTAAGGAGAACAGGATGTTCTTCTGGAGCCACACGAAGCTCATTGTAGAAAGTGTGATGCCAAATCTTTTCCATATCATCCCAGTTGCTAACAATCCCATGTTCGATAGGGTACTTTAACGTGAGAATACCTCTTTTTGATTGGGCCTCATCCCCAACATAGGCATCTTTCTGCCCCATCCCGACCATAACACCTGTATGCCTAGGCCGGCCAACAATACTGGGGAAGACTGCCCTTGGAGCATCATCTCCAGCGAAACCTGCCTGTTGAAGAAGAAAACAATTCAAAGTTATAAGCATGTTCATGTGAACTTTGGAAGGCTCTCACAACATTGCAGCCCAAAAGGAAAACAAAATATTAAAAGACAACCACACTCACCTTAACCATTCCAGTGCCATTATCACAGACAAGAGGTTGAATTTCCTCACCTTCAGCCATGGTTTATAGTGATCCTGCAATTCAAGTAGTGTCATCTAGTCAAGGCAAAGAATCATAGCAAGGTACAATAATATTTGGAAAAATAACCATAAATTCATCCTTCAACAGAAAAGACTGGTCTTCGGAAAGACAAAAGATTATTGTACTTTAAAAATAAGAAAATGATTGCTTACATCATGGAGAAACAAACTTAAATGAAGGGCTAAGTACTTTCATTGAAAGCAAACTTGAGTAAGACAAAGGGTACACCAGCAACACAACAAATTAATTCTCTATTCATGGCCATGCCAAAACAGAGGCCAATGATCCCTACACCACCCCAAAGGTTAATGCAAATCCACGATCAGCTTAATGAACATAATAAAGATCACACCAGTCATAACAGTCACTGATTTTTCTCGAGCACAGCACAAATCATGTGCGCAAACATTCGCGTTCAGAAAATCTCACATCTAGAATCAAGGTAAACATTTGTCTTAGATCAATATACGAAAACAAGAAATCCAAATTGAAGACCCCAATAAAATAAGCATCAACAAATTGATATTTCCCAATAGAGTTTTCGTGCAATTTGTACAGCAGAGTTTTGAACATAAAGCGCTATAGCATTAAAAAAATAAAATCTTAATTGAGATAAACCAATGATTAATCTTGATTACTGTACTTTAACAATAAGAGCAGACATGTCTACATCACCAAGAAACAAACTTTGAACAAAATGTTAAATTCTTCAACTGAAAGCAACAAACAATCTGAATCCCTGATCATCGCAACACCACAACAAAGGCCAGTGGTCCTAAGACGCAGTTAAGAATTTTAGTACAATTTGCACAGACCAAAGTGCATGTCTTGAACATAAAACAACTAAGCATGCATCTAATGATCCTGATTCCAATAAATCCAGAATTGATCTTGATTTAAACAAGTTTGTTGACAAATTTAAGCACAAAATGCTCCGATCATTGACTGTGAAGACTACAAGGCACAGATAAAACAATGATACAACAAAATCAGCACACAAAACACCAAAACCTACAGGTACAAAAGATCTAAATGAAGAAAAGTATGATCCAAGTAAAACCCATCAACAAAAAGCACGAATACTAGCCAAGAAAGAACAAAAGCTAAAGCAAACCCAATTCTTGAATAAAGCAAAGGAACACTATAAACAATTCAAGAAACAAACTTTCTTTGAACAAACAACGTACCTTTTGATTCTGATAATATAGAAAACCAAAACTGAGAGCAAAGAAGAAAGAAACTCGAGTAAGAAGAAAAAAGAAAGAAACCCAAGTTTCTTCTGTTGTATACTCACAGCATGTGCGTTCTCTAGAGAATGTGGTTACTGCTTTTATATTAGAAGTGAAAGAAATTAAGAAAAAGTTGTAATTTTTGGACTAGTGAGATGGGAGTGAAACGGAGAGGGGTCACTTTCCTTTCTTTTCCTTCCTTTTCTTTCTTCAATCCCAAGGGAAAAAGTGCAGAGAAATAATGCTAAAAGCAAAAGCAAAAAGAGAGAAGAGAGGGAACAGGTGGGCATTGTGCCACTGGACTGACAGTGAAGCAAGCGGAGGATTTGCTTGCTTGACGCCTTGCTTTACTTTGGAAAATATCTACTGATGCTTTCCATTCTCTTCTTCTTTTTTCAACTTCAGAACAGAAGAGATATGTTTTTTATTAGTTGCAAAAGAAAATTGTACGACAACAGAAGAAATCGGCATGACTAAACCTGAGTTAGAAGGATAAATATGTAATTCTAGTAATCAAGTCTCAGCTATGATCAAAATTTTGATTAAAATAAAAAATATAAATAAGTTTTAATTGGAGAGGAAAATCAAAAAGAAAAAACAATTTAATAAAAGGTTAAAAAATTAAAATTAAAATTAAAAAAATAAAGATTAAATTGTAAAAATAATATATGACAAATTAATATTAAATAATAAAATTAAAACTAATAAAATTTCTATAAAAAGATCAAAAATAAAAATAAAAAATTAATAAAATAAAAACCAAAGTTAAAAAACCACCAACAAATAAAGATTAAATTGCTTCCAAGGATTTTTTTTTAATAATGAAGATATTAGTGTCATCTAAATTGGTCTGAATATATATTTTATCATCAAATAAAATAACAATATGGTACATGTATTTGAAATAAATACAATCATATATCTATATAGATTTGCTTCAAATTTAAGAGATATAATCCATTTTCATAGATAAATAAAATTAAAATTTTAATATTTTTAAATCATTTCCATTTATTTATGTAAAAAATAAAATTTAAAAAATAAAAATATTATTTTGATGAATTTTTAAATAAAAAATTTAAAAAAATCTGAGACAGTCCTAAGTTTTACATCTCAACTCCATATTTTATATAAAAAATATCTTAATCCAATTTTCTGTATTATTTATTTTTTTGAAATACAAGTTTTCTTTTTTTGTTAACTTGGGCTTGCTTCTCATGTTTCGAACTCTCTCCATTGGGCAGCTCGTATGACAGAACCTCTGTTTAGGCCTGTTGAAAATTCTACCATGGGCTAGGCCTCCTTTAATGAAATCAAGAACTCCATGAGTTCATGTCAGCAGTGATCGGGGATGTAGCAAGCTTTGCTGTTCATAGGCAAGAGGAAGAAGAAGAATGAGGGAAGTGAAGAAGGCTTTGAGTTTCATCTTGACTGTAGAATTTTGGAGGATGGGAATCTTTTGGACACTCTCTCTTGTCATGTCTTACTTCCAGTTGTTCTGGCAAAGGGTTTTTGCTAAAAAGCCTAATGCTTATCCTCGTTGCCCGCCGCAAAGAATTGGGACTAAGAAACCCATTTGCGTGATTACTGGTGTAAGCTATGGATTTTAGTGGTTTTTTTAGTCTGGCTAAGCACAAAAAAATCTGTATTATTTTGGGTTTTAATCATTTTTTCTTGTTTGTGTGTTGTTGCTGCTACAGGCTACGTCTGGTATTGGTGCGGCGGCAGCTTATGATCTTTCAAAGGAGGGGTTTTATGTTGTTCTTGGTACTCTGCTGATTTTAGTTCATGTTCATTTTGTTTCATTTGTGTAGGATAACAATGTCATGAATTGTGAAGATGAATGAATTTTAGTGACTGTTAGGAGAAATAATTAGGGAAGGATTCGAGTTGCATAATTGTCATTTGTTAAGTAGTTAGCTTGCTGATATTGTCTAATCGAAAAATTTGTGATCTTTTTGTATGGATGGATTTGAATTGTTTGATTAACAAAGTAGAGCAGCTAGTGTCTTGTATTGATATGTAAGTAGTATTCTAGATGCTGCAATAAATTGACATCTGGATAATGGTCTCTCTTCTAATCATGCTAGAATCATTTTTTCACACCATCTTTGAACAACAAAGATTCTCCTATCAGTTCAAAAACTTGTTGCTGAAACTCATATTATACATGCAGTTGGAAGGTCATCCCAATTGCTATATAAGGTATGTAATCCATGCCGTTAGTGACTGGTCTATTATTTATGTCCATGCTCCACATTGAATTTTTCTTTAAGTTTTCTTGTACTTGTTGCTTTGCTTGTGTGACAGATGATAGAATGGATACTCGAAAAGAATAAGGATGCCTGTGTAGAAGCTTTTGAGGTTGACCTCTCATCTTTCCAGTCAATCTTGAAGTTTAAAGACTCACTTGAGAAGTGGCTATTAGATTCAGATATGCATGTTTCTGTCCAACTCTTGATAAACAATGCTGGGATACTGGCAGCTTCACATCGTCTCACAGAAGAAGGCTATGATCAGTAATAGAAATCAAACTATTCTTTCCTGGTTAGATTGAGAATTTCATGGTGATAAGCTAACCTGTTTTTGCCAGGATGATGGGTACAAATTACATTGGTGCCTTCTCTTTGACCAAACTTCTCCTACCACTTCTCAAAAACAGTCCTGTTGGCTCACGGATAGTAAATGTCACCTCCTTTACACATCGAAATCGTAAGGACTTTTATAGTCACTCTATATGAAGCATATTTTTGAGGATTAGATGATTGGTTTTTAGGCATCTCTTGCATAGATTATCAATGGTAGCTAGCTGTCTACATCAGCGATTATCTGTCATGTTTTCAATGAAGAATGAATTTTGTAATGACAGTGCCTACTTTGTTACTTGCACACAGCCTCATTCTGTTTGGATGTGTCTTGTTCTTAAATTTCTTTTCATTTCGTTCTTTTTTTGAGAGATAAAATCCTTTTTTTAATTTTTTTATTAGCAGCATTTCTAGTGAGGAGTGCAAAGCAAAATATTTTGCATTGCAATGAAGTTTACACAGATGCTTGATAAAAAATGTAATTACATTTGCTCTTTTCTTTAGTATTTAATGTACAGATCGACAAAGAAACTGTTGTTGGGAAGTGCCTCTCGAGATCAAAACAGTATCCATTTTCTCATATCTACGAGTTCTCCAAGTGTAAGCCATAACAATCACACTATACACAAATGGATTGTGTTTTGTCTTGTTTCTAATAGTCAAATGTCATTTGTGGCTTAGTATGTCTCCTGATGTTCTCATATGAGCTTCACCGGCAACTTCACTTAGCAGATGAATCTTGCAAAGTCTCTGTCATGTATGTATTTTTTTTACTTTGGCATGTTTATTTCTTGGTTATTTAATTACTGCATTCAAACTTTAGAGTGGAAATTAGATATTATTTCTATTATTATCACTGTTTGAATGTACTCATGTATTCCTGCTATCCTTTCTTCATCTGTTTGCTAGTGGTTCCACATATTTCATCCTATGCATACAATCATTTGTTCTCATGCATAAGCATCTCATTTGTCCTAAGGAATGTCTAGTCTTATGCTTTAGTAGTTAGATTCCCTTTTCACTGAAATGTTAAAAATATCATGTTCTTTGTCAAAATAAAAAATTATGTTCATGATTACTTCAAACTCAAATTATTTCTTTTGGTTCTGTTTAATATTGAAGTGCAGCCGATCCTGGAGCAGTGGAAACCAATATCATGCGAGAACTCCCTTCCTGTATTTCCCGTATGACATTTATAGCGCTCAACCTTCTGGGCCTTTTGCAATCACCTGAAGAGGGGGCTAGCTCTGTTATTGATGCTGCTCTTGCTCCACCAGTAAGTTCTTGCGGTTGCTCTTATGTTTAATAATTTAATCAACCCTTTTTCTGTCCTTGTGGTGATTTTGAACCTTGGGTAACACGCATGGTATTTCCTTGATGAAAATTAGAAATCATCGTCTGAGAAGGATCAGTCTTTGGATTATTGTGGTTTAAAGAAGCTGGTATTATAGTGGCTGGTTACTCTGATGTATAGTGAGGATTCTGCTACTTTTCTTTTTCTTAAAAATGCTTATCAGATTTTATGTGGTTTTTTAGTTGATTTTGCCACAAAAATAATTCTTACCTCTTTTTTAGTTGAGAACTATAAGAGTTTGGCAATGATTCCTCTTGCACATTTGCGATAGAAACACCATCTTGAAGGCATTTCAAACAGGAAATTCTGTTTCCTCGCCCCTTTCTCACTGTTCATTGTTCTAGAGAGAGATCTAATTTTATCCAGCAAATTCAAATTAACATGTCATCTGTCATTTTTTTTCAGCAAACTTGTTTTGTTCATCTCAGGAAATATCTGGAGTGTACTTTTTTGGTGGAAAGGGCAGGACTCTGAACTCTTCCGCACTATCACATAATATCAGACTTGCAGAGAAACTCTGGAGATCTTCAAGCGACCTCTTTTTAGAGTCAAAACTCGCTTCTGCTAGAACATACACTTCATGAATTGTAAGTCAGAGGGACACGCTACCATGAACAAAGGAAAAGATCAAGTGCTTATGCAAAAAGGGTTTTCATTTTTCTGCATAATTCACAAATATGAATCGAGTGAAAAATAGCAATTGAAATGTCTATAAGAGTTGACGAATACAAAGAATGATATACCTTGTGTGTCGTGCCATCATAATGATTCCTATGATTCAATGATACACTTGTTATATACTTAGTGCTGTTTGGTTATTGTCTCTTGTCTCGTGATAAAAGAGATAAAGACAGTTGAGATTGAAAGGACATGTTCCCCTCTCTTTCCTGTTTTGAAAGGATAAAAATTGACTTCAAAATTGTCCGGTCTGTCCCTCCAACTAAACCTTTCTGTATTTGTCTCTTGTATTCTAGGACACTAACAAAAC